TCAATAACTCATATCATTGCAGTAAGGTCTGTAGATACAATATTTGATGATATTTAAAAGAAGCGCATTGCCAGTAAATTTATTTGTGTAAAATTTTAACGATAGATGGCAATTAAATTAAATTTACTAATAAATTATTTATATATTTTTCTAGGGGTGATTGTGCATTACTTATTGACTCAACCTTGTAATTTTAAGTTGGCGGTATTTGTTATGTTTTTAAAATATTTTTCCTAGTTAGAGAGAATAAAAATATAGAAAATATCACATATAGGCTCATCTATAAATTTAGAATTGAAACACAATATTCATTCCCTATTCAAATGAGATACCTGAACCCTCCCCCATTATGAATGAGGACCATGTCAATATTTTCCTCATTGCGACAGACTTCAGACGAGAGATGTTTATTTTGGAATGGATAATTTCCAATCAACGAATCGTCTCAACAGGCCAAAAACTAGATATTCTCCTCTAGTCAAGTCTTTATATAATCTATATACTGGCTCGTTGTTGAAGACCCATCGATCTAAAGCTAGCTATTCCAAAATAAACGATTCGCAGAGTAAATTGTTTTCAGAGACAAAAATAGCATTAAATGTTTACAATATTTAAAACCTTTATTAATATGATTTTTCTGTATTAACTATGACTAAAGAAATATAAAATATTTTACCAGGTGAAAAATGCATGTTGAAACAGAAGCCAGTTTAAAAATCATACTGATAACATTTATATGAATATATATTTAAATTTCTTAAAAATTACAGAAATATCTTAAACACCTTTTTCAGATAAACACTTCAATAATATTATATTATACTATATCGGCAAAATGACAGTTGACATACACGCACATCATTAAATATCATACCTATACAATTGTATATTTATTTTAAAAACAAAAATAAATAAATAAATAAATAACAATACACCTATCCCCCGATTTACACGGTACTTGTTTTACACGCTTTCGCTTTTACACGGTTTTCCAAATAAGTTTTGTTTGTTTTTATCGCACTATACTAAATGCTACTGTGATTGAACACATGCGTGTGTACACATCTCACGAGGAATCCCGAGCTTTTGTGCTGACTTGCTGCAAACGCACACTGTGTCTGTATTTCTTCGCATAAAAATTTCGCGAATTTTTTTAATTTTCGATTTACACGTTTTTCTTAGGAACGTATCTACTGTGTAAATCGGGGGATAGGTGTACTATTTTCATTTTAAAATAAAGGCATATTCCCAAATTGTGCTTAGTAATCGTTCTGTGAAAGATTTGAGAAATTCAAATTCGCCAGTACACGAGGTAAGCTAAATGGAAAAGACCGCAGTAGGGGAGGTACTGTAAATGGCGCGTGACTTTAGAGTCACGTGTATAAAGAAATTTGAGATGTATCTGTTGAGAAAAAATACCTATAAATATAATATATATCTGTATTAGAAACACACACACAAAATAGGCTTACATTCTATCTCTCGGCTATCTCTGCAAAGGAGCAGGTTCTGTATTTGACAAAGCTGGTGTTGTATCACCGATACAACATAATCTGCTTGTTCGCCCAGATGACGCAGTTTAACGCCATTTTTTGACAGATAACTTTTAATTTAATCGATCCTCCAGACAACATTTCTATCTTCAACTATGCATATATTTGCATAAATGAATTAAAAACATTTCGATATACAAGTCATTGATTCCAGAGCGAAATGTAATTTATAAAAGCATTCTGAAAGTTAAAAGCTGCACGTAAATTATTAAAATACCGCAGTATATCGAGAAATGTAACCAGTGAATATTACTAAACTTCGCACGAATGTGTATATATAACACAGAATTTGAAGCATTCAACAAAATTCCGAAGGATATTTTAGACATAAATCTTTAAATTAAAATGTTTTGAAGGCTTTATTAACATTAAAACATTTTTAAAATATATTTTCGGTATTATTGTTGTGTACAAGAAATATTAGAGATTCCAACACAATAAATTTTCGCATTGATTCATTTCAAGAAAAAAAGCATAATGTTTCGTTAGAATTGAATCCCCCACCGTTATATAAAAAGTGACCATCATTTCTTTTTCACGGCTCATATAGTTTCTTACTTCAGCTTTCAGACCTTTCTATAACGGAATTTTCAGTCTGATATCTTCTTTCTTATACTATTTCTCTCTCTCCGAAACATATATTCCTTCATAGATAACAAGGAATTGTTCAGAAAGAGATCCCTCCTCCACTCTAATAGACCATTGGTATATAAGTTGTTTTACCAACGTCAACTCTGGCGCGCAACGCCATCTCCTATAATTTATTTATTTGTTAAGTAGATAACACCAATTTCTTTAAAACGAATTTTCATTGTTGATTATCAAACATCCTTTTACCATAGTTCACTCCTATGTAAACTATCGACTAAATTGCCTTCTCCGTAATATATTGTCGCGGCTGGACCCTACCGGTTCTTTGCGACAACGCCGCTTCCTCCTTCGTGGATCACCTACTCAGGCTCCCGTTGCTCTTTCCCTGCAGCTCTTTCCTACAGGCCACCCAAAGACGTCCTGAGAACCCCCTCTCCAGTGGTACTCCCTTCCTCTGGCAGTATCTCTCGGCCTTACCACTGGTGGGGGGGGGGGGGGGGGGGGCACGAGAGACTTAACAGAAGAGCAGCAGCGTGGCGATGATGGCAATGGTGAGAGTAACGACAGAAGGCCGCACCAGGACTTGAAACACTGACATTTATTGTCATCCACTACTAAACATTACATTTAAATGAGATAACAAACAATGGGGTATTTACATTATGTTACATCCTGGAGCCAAAATAAAGTGTATTTACAATTAACCTCCCTAGGAAACAAGACCACAGCTGTCGGCGACTCCCACATCAGTTACAGAAGGGAATCAGGCGAAAGCGCCATCCATTGGCGGAGGTTGTAATCATTCGGAGGCCTTACACGCGACAATATTTATTCAACGAAATAAATAGCAAAACAAGTTGGAATCAATACTTAAAATATTCTTTACAACTTTGAAAAATATTATGCGATTTAATTCTACTCAATTGGCTGGCAGGTAGAGTTTAAAGCATTCAAAGTGAATGGAATATAGAAACATTGCTTTTAAAAATTGTTTAGACTCTTTAAATTCTTATTTCATTTTATGTTCATCCTCTATAGACCAAATAAGCTTCTTTAGTTAGAAAATGCATTCATTATGACATAAATTAAGTTCTTCATAACATGCGTACCTATCTATTAATTCTGAATTTAGTATAACGTATCCAAATTTGGATTTTTATGTTATTGAAGTGACGTTATGTTGTCCTAAAAACGACTTTAAAATAAAATTCTAATATTTCATTTTAAAAATTAATTATAAATGACACACACATTTCAAATATTTTCCATGTCTTAATTCAAATATAAAAATTATTAGAACTTCTAATGGCGTTGGACCATGAAACAAGTATGTTTCTTATTTAGTCACAATATCACCAAATTCAAACGATTTTACTTCCCAGACAAGTTATGTAGTTCTCACAAAACTATCAACGTTTATTTTATCTTTATCTTCATTTGAGATAGAGTTTTTAAAATGAAAATATTGTAGAATAAAATTTTAAAGAAATGTTTGGTTTTCTTCTACATTAGTCATGTCGTCACAAAAAAAAAAGTGATCCAAAAATATTTCCACACAGGAATAAAATTCGAAATAAAATCAATTTATAAAAATTTAACACAAATGCTTCAAATATGTTCAGTCGAGTATCTATATTTTTGTATCAATATATATGTATGTATGAATGCTGATATTTGTATTTTGATGCACAATTTTAAAAACTCAAATATTTGCTTTAAAAAAAAATGTTTTATTGATGTTATAATATTCTTATAGAATTATACTTTCACAAATAATTTATTTTTCATATCAATTCGTATTTACAAAAAGGAAAAACAAGATTAACTTAAAAATTCTATATTTTAAATCAATATATATTTATTTATATTTTTAAAGAGATGCTCGCTCTCTAATTGAATATCTTGTGAGGTTTTAAAAACCAAACATCTCTCGTATTAAAAAAAAATTCAATAGTTTTATTTTAATTCATTGGTTTCAAACTCAAGGGTGTATTTTAGCAATTCCTAATAGAATAACTAACCTCCCATCCAAATAAGTTACCACACATCTCGCCAATTAGCAAACTGCGTGGTTTCTAAGTCAGGCTTTTTGTTAGCTGAATAAAAAATTAAAGTGCCTTTTCGTGCTTTTCAGGTAGTTCTTTCAAAAAGAAAATTAATTATTTACAAAGTTTCTTTCTATTTATGCTAAGTCATGAGTTCAACGTCTTTCTTTGGGGGGAAAAGGAGGCCCATTTGTTAATTCCTGACATTCTTGGTTTAGGTCATTATTTCAGGGCCCTCCCCACAATTCTTGATTGTTCCACCGACTCTGGTTGTCATGGCGACTGCATCTGACCAATGACTCTTGCATTTACGGTACCACTTGGGTGCCTCTGTTTTGATGGGGATTCCCCCGCAGCCCCAGGCGTAAAAAAGCACTTTCCCCGCCATAAAAAAGTGATCTTCCTATTATCCTGTGGAGCCAAGTCTGTTTGCACAGGATAATGATGGAAAAGTAAACAGTATCGGGGTAACTTTGTCATGTTCGATTTGATGGTGATCCTTTTTCTCGAATTAATTATGAAAATGGAGGTCGGCAGCTTTTTTATTTAATGATTCAGCGAGGTCGGATGAATCATGATGCTTTGGGCCTAGGTTAATAAAGAAGTAGAAATGCGATTACTTTGATAGAGTTCCTGAAAAAACTAAGAAATTATAATATAAATTATGGAAACATCAACCATTTTATCAGAATGTATTTGAAAAGTTGATCAAGGATATCTACTTATTTAATTGCCTTATTCTGTCTGTGTGAAGTTCACTGTGTGAAGTTCACGGATAGATTTTGGTCAGAATGGATAAAATAAAAAAAAGTGGTCAAGGGATGGGAATCGAACCCACGACCTTCCGCTTACCGGGCAGATGCCATGACCACTAGGCTACATATGCAATGAAAATAACAATTAAAATTGCTTTAGTAATTTTTAATTATTATTTTCATTGCATATTTATGATATGGGTTCATTCAAAAAACTTTTACCGCAGTTTAGAATATATATCTATATATTTATCTATTTTACTCATATATTCACTGGCCGTGTGACCATTTAGAACCTTGCGGAAAGTTATAGGGTCATTTTTTGTGATTTTTTTTTGTTTCGATTTTATTGAAAAAAAAACGATATGGTGCCTTTAAAAAATGATTTTTATTACTATGCAGCTTCCTATTTAGTCAATATACCTAAGTTCATGTTGCAAATGTAATTATCTCTATCGATTTAGTAGGTGAAATGCAAAAGAAAATCGACATGATGAAATCTTTATGAAAATTCACATTTTTATTTTTATATTTTCAAGACACACACAGTTTGGGGCGGGACGTTTCACAAGAGAGACATCCACGGCGCCAATTTATAATTGTAACGAATAATATTTTATTAAAACATTTTAAAAACACACAGTTTGGAACGGGACGTTTCACAAGAGTGACATCCATGGCGCCAATTATAATTGTAACGAATAGTATTTGAATTAAAACGTTTGAAAATATATACGCACTCGGGTAAAACCCGGGCGTTGCCCGGGCCATTCGTCTAGTATACTATAAGAGTGCTATAAAGTTGATGTTAGGGGTAAAAAATCGCGAAAAACGCTCTGTATTATGGAATAAAGCTATTACCTACAATAGGCAATGATACTATCTTCAAATATCTGGAGGATATTTTAATCCTTATCGTGTATGCTCTTATATACTCATTTTTTAAATATATACTCGTTATAGTGATTTTAACTACATATAGAGTGTTCGGATATAGACATTTTGTAAATCTAGAGATTGGTTTAGATGGAGAAACTTTAGATGGAGCTGTTTTACGAGCTAGGCGAAGACGTCCAACATTGCTTGTGGATCCACCGACCTAACTCTCTCTGTCCATAGGCACTGATCCTATCGTTGTATAAATTCTCTCAAAGATTTTTTTTATCATCATCATCGCTCAACGGCTCGTAAAGTTGGTGATTAGCTTACCGAGGCCTGTATTTCGACGTCCCATCGTCTCTTCCAAGGCGCGGGTGTGTAAATCCAAAGTCTGGAGACCTGAATAACATTGAAGACATATCTTCATAAATAACTTCTCCAATGGGGAGATTTATCAAGCTATATTTTCTACAGAAATTTTAAATTCTTTTTTAAATATTTTTTTTCAATATCTATAAATATGAAATCCAAAATCGATGTTTGTTATCGCGTTGCGCAAAATCTACAGAATCAATCATTATGAAATTTCGCATGTAGTTAGCTGAAGATTTCGTTTAACATATAGGCTATTAAAAACACTAAAAAGGTTAATGTGATTTTTTTAAAATGTAAAACCAAAAAGCGTCGCGATGATAAATGAATTTGATTGGTTAATAATTTACACACGTAGTTTGTATACACGATGAATGTTAGTTTGTTTACACGATGAATGTTTTTAAAAGGCAAGATTATCCAATGGCAGTGAAACTTTAGGAAGTTATTTACTATACTAATGGGAAGGTTTCTGGGTTGAATTTGATTTGAAATAAATATTCGTTGCAATTTTATTTACAAAATATCTACTTTCACTCTCAAGCAGTGTCTCTCGCGGCATCTAGTGAAATTAAATTTAGAAATTGTAAAATGCTAAAATGTGTTCCAAGTATAATAAAGTTAATATTTAATTTGAGGATTTAGTTAAATAATATTCCAATGACGTTGTAAAAAAACTTGGCATTTCAATATTAATATATATTTAAAGAAAATATTATATTTAAAATTTTATAAATGTTTTCTAAATAATCATTTGTTTCAAAATATATTTAAACGCATATAACAATTTTATATACGTTTTTAAATCTAAATATAGTTGGATTGGATGCTTTCTAAAATCGTTCTAACAAACGTTCGTTAGACAAACTTTTACTCGAGTAAAAACGAGCGAAGCCGGGTACATTCTCTAAATACAGTTATTTACAAATGTTCGTTTGTGGCAAGATACTATTCCTTCAACTTCAAATTCCCGAGTGGACCAATTATTATTGATTTTATTCAACTTATCGAATATTTTTCAAGGGACCGAGAAAAATTTCAAATTTTCGAGTGTATAGACAATCAGTAGGGATTGGATGTTTGCTAGAATAGTTTTAACAAATGTTCGTAAGGCAAACTTTTACTCGGGTAAAACCGGACGAAGCTGGGAACATATATACACTGCGTGACATTGAAAATGGAACACCAAGAAATAGTGGCCAGAAAGTGATGAAACTCGGCAGACAGAGAGAGACAGGGACGAACAATGAGTGATCTTTATTTCAAAATGATAGTCATAATACAGAGCGAGAACGGCGTCGGCTTAGTAGCAAGTAGGACCACCGCGGACGGCGATGCACGCAGCAGCACGTCTAGGTAGAGAGTCAATCAGAGTACGGATGGCGTCCTGAGGGATGGCTCTCCATTCCCTCTCAACCATTTGCCACAGTTCGTCTTCTGAACGCGGCTGTGGCAAGGCATGCAAACGGCGTCCAATGATGTCCCAGACGTGCTCGATTGGTGAGAGTCAGGAGAGTACGGTGGCCAGGGAAGCATCTGTACATCTTGCAGAGCTTGTTAGCTAATGCGAGCAGTGTGCGGTCGGGCGTTATCCTGCTGATAAAGGGCATTGGGTACCCCCTGAAGGTAGGGAGTGTCACCGGTCGCAGCACATCATAAACGTATCGTTGGGCCGTCATAATGCCCTGAATACGAGGTAAAGGTGACCTGGAATCATACGCGATTGCGCCCCAAACCATGATTCCACGTTGTCGCACGGTGGGGCGTTCCACAATTGCTGCCGGATTGGACCTTTCTCCACGTCGACGCCACACGCGTACACGGTGACTATCACTGGACAAGCAGAAACGCGACTCATCTGAGAACACGACCCTGTGCCATTCCGTCATCCCCGTCGATCTAGCCCGGCACCATCCCAAACGTTGGCGCCAATTCGGTGGGGTCAATGGCAGTCTTCTTAGCGGACGGCATGAGTGCAAGCCATTAGCAACCAATCGACGGGAAATGGTTCTGGTCGAGATGGAATGATCTAGGGTGTCTTGCACATGTTGCAGGATGGCGGTACAAGTGGCTTGTGGGGCCGCCACTGCTTGTCGAAGGATACGCCGATCCACACGTGCTGACGTCACTCTGGTTGCACCGACATTCCTATTAATTGCCACATTTCCTTGTTCCAACCATCTTCTCCACAGTCGGTGCACCGTGGACGCACCAAGGTGTGTATCAGCTGCGATTTGACGTATGGACCAACTGCCCTTTTCAGTCCGATCACCATGCCCCTCGTAAAAGCGTCTGTCTGCTTGAACTGCCTCCGTTTACGATGACCTGGCATTCTCTGTTATTACACGTGCCTTTTGACACAAGAACAAAATTTCTACAATGATTTTCCATGAAGAAATAACAACACGAATACTGTCATTTCTGCAAGTTCCTTCCCTTATATCTTACTCCATGTGCGCACGAGAGCTGCGCATTTTACATCATTTGCATAACTCGGTTAGGCGCGTCTACCTGAAATTTGCATAATTTTCTGGCCACTATTTCTTGGTGTTCTATTTTCAATGTCACGCAGTGTATATGTATAAAATAAAAGGATTTAAAAGCGCGAATGTTTCTTTTATAATAATAAAACTTCTACTGTCCTTACTGCGATGAAAAAATATATTGGGAGGGCTTGGCTCATCAGTGGTGAACCCTCCCAGCGGTTTCGCCAATTTAATCTACCAGACGCTTCTCAGAGCTCTAATACTGTATTGGATCATTCTACTTTTTATTCTACACTGAAGGATGGAATCTTAGAAATGGTTTTCAAGTAAACTATAGACATAAGCTTATAGGACAGTAGAATTACATATAACCCGGCATTGCGCGCCGGGTGAAAATTACTCATGGCAACATTTGAGTGGAGAATTAACCAATAAAAAATCGGTTGGCGGAGATGTGGTTTCGTTTAGCTTCCTGACTCATTATCTAGCCTAAAGTTTTGGTTTCACATTTTGACAGCTCCCACTGATATTCCATCTATTGTCACTGTCGGGTAAAAATCACCCGGTGCGCGCATTCGCGTAATTTTTTTTGTTGCATTTTTCTTTGATATTTTTTTATGAGTGAAATAAATAATTCGAATTAATAATTTAAAAAATAACTATAATAGGTTGATATATTTATCAACCTATAATTCTATATAAAATGGAGGGAAGAAGGTCATATTTATTAGATCAAGAAGAGATTATTGTAGAAGGTGGTATGAAGAAGTTCATCTAAGTGAACACTTTTCAGGAAGTGTCATTGGAATATATTAAGATATGGGAATTTTTGGGATAAGGGAATTATCCCACAAACACATTTTTATATAGGGAGAGCCTCGAAAACCAAATGGTCCAAAAATTGCCTTTCACAAACAGTAAAGTTGAGAACGCCTAATGTCATTACACATTTACTAGGCTTGAAAGGCAAAAAATAAAATACACCTTTAGAAGCTCTTCAGAAGAAAATTATTGAAATGTTTGGCCCTTGAACTCATCAAAGAGCAACTAAATCAAAGAAAAATCATTTCTTCACTGCCTAGAGGACTATAAAAAAAATTCATTTTTTTTACAGATTAGTTAATTGAAATCATAAATGTATACTCTTAATATTTATTTCAATTAATTTTTAGAAGGCACTTCAAGCCATCATGAAGGTCAGGAACCGCAAGATAAAGCCTCTTACCAGATGTAGTGTGTCCCTCCAGTAAGGACTGGAAGAGCTCAATTTGTGCCATAAATGTGCAAAGTCAATTTATAAAGGACATACAATTGCAGTTTGCTATGATTTGTCTAGAATATCCTCATGGAATTTTATATATTTAATATTGGAAAGGAGCAATAGTTTCATATTTTTATATGCCATTACCAATTTTGAACATTATTCAAGAATAGTTTTTAAAATGTTTAATTTGTGCAAAACATATAAATATTTTATTAATAATTGCCTTTTTTGAAAATTTTAATGCTGTTACTTTGAAATAGAAAAGGTTTTGTTTTTTTTTCCTCAGTTAATATTTATGTTCAAAATATGTAATTATAATATCGGGTAAATTTCACCAAGCGCGCGCAAGTACATTACATTTTTAGCGCGCGCTCGAAGGTTAAAGTGTTTTTATAATTAATTATTCAAACTATTTTTAGTCGTATATATCCATCCAAAAAAAAAAGCCTATCACTGACGACGTTGGCCTAAATAGCTGCAAGCCTGCCTCGCAGCAGATTGTCAATTCCTCGTGGAGGTCGAAGTGAGTTGTAGTTTCATTATTCTATATGGCCTGAAGCATATTGAAATTAAATATACAAATTTTGAAAGCAAATTTGAAATTGTCCGTTCTGGACAACCTGTCAACCCAGAGGTCTGAAAATTGCCAGTTTAGCATTGTCATCAGGTTTGAACATGTGTACCAAATTTCATATTTCTTGTGCCCTATAAGTATTTTTAATAAAATTGATTACAAGATTTGGCGACAGACATCCAACAGACAGACAAGGCAAGTTAAATAAAAGCTTTAAATAAAAAAGTGACCAATCTCAATGAAAATGGTACCATTAGAAAGATTGTAAAAAGTATACAAGAAAAAAATCGAAGAAATCGCTAAAAACGAACGGTTCGCGATATATGGCAAAACAAAATAAATAAATTAAATGCACAAATTTGAAAGGAAATTTGGAAATTTGTCCGTTCTTGCCAACCTGACACCCAGTTAAAAAGGTTCGTGAAATGTATGTGGTATATTGTTTACACACACCTATATATATCTACCTATATAAATGCCTTATTCTGTCTGTGTGAAGTTCACTGTGTAAGTTTCACGGATATATTTTGGTCAGAGTCATCAGAGTCATCAATTCTGTCATCGTTTTAAAAAATTAAAATATTAAAAAAAGATGCCGACACCCGGGATCGAACCAGGACCTTTATTCTAGCGCTCTCCCAAATGAGCTATTTCGGCTTATTTTAGTCATTTCTATAGAATCTTCTATCTTTATAATTATGAATATTTTCAAAAAGTCAATTCACACCCTCTTTGCTGGAGACCATGGTAATACTGACTAATTCATTATGCTACATAATCATCATCATCTACTTATATAATTGCCTTATTCTGTCTGTGTGAAGTTCACGGATAGATTTTGGTCAGAATGGATAAAATAAAAAAGGTGTCAAGGGATGGGATTTGAACCCACGACCTTCCGCTTACCAGGCAGATGCATGACCACTAGGCTACCCTGGACATATTTTTCCGTTCATAAGTTAATATATGATGCCAATATATATAATAAATGTATATACGAATGAAAGACAAAATCACCGCGAATGTTTCTTTTTTTAAAGGCAATTTTTGTTTCGATTTTATTGAAAAAAAAAACGATATGGTGCCTTTAAAAATGATCTTTATTACTATGCAGTTTTCTATTTAGTCAATATACCTAAGTTCATGTTGCAAATGTAATTATCTCTATCGATTTATAGGGGAAATACAAAAAAAAATCGACACGATGAAACCTTTATGAAAATTCACATTTTATTTTTATATTTTCAAGAACACAGCGTTTGGGGCGGGACGTTTCACAAGAGAGACATCCACGGCGCCAATTTATAATTGTAACGAATAGTATTTTATTATAAAACATTTTAAAAACACACAGTTTGGAACGGGACGTTTCACAAGAGTGACATCCATGGCGCCAATTTATAATTGTAACGAATAGTATTTGAATTAAAACGTTTTAAAAATATATACGCACTCGGGTAAAACCCGGGAGTTGCCCGGGCCATTCGTCTAGTATATATATATTGAATATAAATATATGTGTGTGCGTGATGATATTGATGACTAAATTATAACAGATAAAATCAATATATTTGTTGGCTTTTCTCATTTATTTGCTTGTAATTCCAAGGACGTTTTAGATAGTAATCTGAATATTTGGATTTCTAATTCCTTCCATGTCTTGAACATTTATTGAAAAAATCCTTTCGCAACCTCCAGCCTTGTCGCATTTTTTAGCCAAGAAAAATTTAAATTGACAGGTTCTGGGAAAAATAGTTGTTTTTAGTCAGAAAATGATAATGAAAATATTGCTGTATTATGTTTGATAATCAGATACAAAATCATATAGGAAAAAAATTCCAAAAGAGCAGAGACCACGGGTGAAGCGAGTACACTTTTTAAAAGCTTTTATTTGACATGCCTATGTGTCTGTCTGGATGTCTGTCGCCAAATCTTGTAATCAATTTTTAATATACTTATAGGGCACCTAGAAATATGAAATTTGGTACACATGTTCAAACCTGATGCTAGCTGACCAATTATCAGACTTCTGGGTTGTCAGGTTGGCCAAGAACGGACAAATTTCCAAATTTCCTTTCAAATTTTGTATATTTAATTTTATTTATTTTGTTTTGCCAATATCTCGCGAACCGTTCGTTTTTAGCGATTTTCCTTCGATTTCTCCATCTTGTTTTAAGATTTCTTGATATACTTTTTACGCTCTTTCTAATGGTACTTCTTTAAGATTGGTCCACTTTTCTATTTAAAAGCTTTTATTTAACTTGCCTCCGTGTCTGTCTGTCTGGATGTCTGTCGGCAAATCTTGTAATCAATTTTTATTAATATACTTATAGGGCATCTAGAAATATGAAATTTGGTTCACATGTTCTAACCTGATGACAATGCTAGCTGACCAAATTTCAGACTTCTGGGTTGTCAGGTTGGCCAAGAACGGACAAATTTCCAAATTTCCTTTCAAATTTTGTATATTTAATTTTAATATGCTTCCAAGACCATATAGAATAATGAAACTCACAATACTCCGCTCAGTCCAATTAATAATTGACAGATAGACAGACATACATTCATTTTTATATATAGAGATTAGCAGTAATTAAACGTAACAGTAAGAAAATGTTGATTTTAATATATGTAAATAGAGTCTCTTAAGAAAGACCACCTAAAAACATGATTCAACTTGTTTCTCCGGTAGGTGGTCTCTCATTGGAGATTCTAATTGATATTAAAGAATCTCTATTAGACCTTTAATAAGAGACTGGCTCTTGGAGAGACGGGTTAAGCTACTATTTTAGGCATTCTCTCAATTGAAGCTCTACTGTATCTACTTTTTCACACTGTTTGGCTTAATAAATTACATTTTAACCATTTTAAATGTGTATCAATCCAGTCTATATTTTGATATTTTATAGGCAAAATCACTTCATTTCAATTCATAGGGAATGCTTAACATTTTTTTTGTCTTCATTCAGCTTACTTTCTATTATATTTTAAGCCATTGTTCCCCATTATACATATTTAATACCGTATACACTGTATTACACTTTCAAAAATGTCATTAATAATTTGAATACAGAAACACACACACACACACACACACATTGAAAATCTTCTTAATAATGATGATAATTTTAATAAAAATTTAATGGAATTTGGGAAATAAAACGAAACGAAAAAAGGAAATCTGACAAAAAATAGCTTTATAACTTTTCCCAAAGTTCTAAATGGTCAAATAGCAAGTGGCTATATAAATAAAGTTATACACAAAGATAAAATATAGATTTTAAAATATTTTTTTTTACTTAATTTTAATGCATTTTAAATTCTTCATCTTCAGGGTCATTGGTAGTTATGTGGAAAATTCGGTGACATTTGGTTAAGTAGTTTCTGAGTTTATCGATAAACAGACAGACAAATTTTGATTTTTAAATATATAAAGATAATACAGATATAATAAATCAGAGTGCTGAAATATAACAGATTATTTAATATTTATCCTTATTTTTTCCAAAAAAAAAAAGGTTTTTCAAACTAATAATTAGATAGAAACCTTTCTGGTAGTATATTAAACAATTTCTCAAAGTTAAATTGCGATGAAATGAGTAGTTTGGTCCAGCATAAAGAAGAGGCATATAATCATTTTTTTTCTATATGCATGATAATATTTTTAGAGCATATTGTTGAGTTATAACAGATAAATTAGAATATTTATCTTGATTATTTTTAGGCGTTAAGCTATTTCAAAAAATTTATTTGCTAGATACCTTCCCAGTACTATACTAAATAACTTCCCAAAGTTTCATGGCGTTCCAATGAGTGGTTTGGTCAGGCATAAAGGACAGACACACCACACACACACTGTTAAGGTATGAGAGGACAAATTAAAGAAATCTCCTTTAACAAGTAAAACTTTTACCCAAAGTCTTGATATTGTTTGGGCTGCCTCGGGTGATAAAGCAAGAAAGAAAATAAGGAAGACAAAACCAGCGGCTACACCTGTAAAGCTCTTCTGCTCTACTAAAAGAAACTCTTTATTTAAACAACACGGCTAAGTTATATACATTCAAAGGGAAATTTACATAATAATTTATACATTCAATAGAAATCTACATTCCTAGTCATACATTTAAAAATATATTTACATACTATATGTCATGACTTTTTACATACCCCCACCTTTCCTTTTTGTAAAACAAGAAAGAAAAAATCCGTTCCACCGTGATGGGGGGATCCTGGAAGGTGGGACACCGTTGCAGGGAGCCCAGGCTCTTATCCAGGAAAACCATCTTCTCCTCGGCACACTGCGGCACCCTCTCCATACACACCACCGGAGATACCCCATAAGCGTCCATCTTCTTCTTCCAAAAGGATCGGAGGTAGTCCCAATCATTTTCCTTGATGGCCATCACCTGGAAATATCTCCTCATGTCGGCCAAAACTCCGAACTTATTTTCCCGAAGTTTTATCCCTATCTCAGGAATTCTCCTCAGTAGATTGGGTATCTTTTTTAAATATCGTCTCAGGGAGAGTCCGTTGTGTCTTCGACTGGAAGCGTCGTCAAATACTGGCCGTATAGGCGTCGTTTTGGACTCACTCTTAAACAAAAGGTGACGGGGCAAATAGTGTCCTTCCACCTCAGGTGGATTTTCATTGACTCCTTCAATGAACCCCTCACTCAACCAATCTTTTGGATCAATAATTTTTTCTCCCACCTTTGAATCAGTACCCTGTTCTGCATCTAGCTTTTCTTCCACCTTTAAATCAGTACCCTGTTCTACATCTAGCTTTTCTTCCACCTTTGAATCAGTACCCTGTTCTACATCTAGCTTTTCTTCCACCTCTGAATCAGTACCCTGTTCTACATCTAGCTTTTCTTCCACCTTTGAATCAGTACCCTGTTCTACATCTAGCTTTTCTTCCACCTCTGAATCAGTACCCTGTTCTACATCTAGCTTTTCTTCCAACTTTGAATCAGTACCCTGTTCTGCATCTAGCTTTCCTTCCACCTTTGAATCAGTACCCTGTTCTGCATCTAGCTTTTCTTCCACCTTTGAATCAGTACCCTGAGCTACTGCTTTAGAATTGTTCACCGATTCATAACCTTTAATTGCTGTTCCAGAATCCTTTACTCCATTACCCTTGGTTTCAGCTTCCGAATCCCCTATTCTATCGCCTTTGGACTCAGCTTCAGAATCTTCCTTATTCTTTAAATTTGCATCTTCACATTTTTCATTAGCAGTTTCCTCCTTCGTAAGAGACCTTGCGCTTTCCTTTATCTTAAACTAGACGAATGGCCCGGGCAACGCCCGGGTTTTACCCGAGTGCGTATATATTTTAAAAATGTTATAATTAAAATACTATTCGTTACAATTATAAATTGGCGCCGTGGATGTCTCTCTTGTGAAACGTCCCGCTCCAAACTGTGTGTGTCTTGAAAATATAAAAATAAAAATGTGAACGGAAAAATATGTCCAGGGTAGCCTAGTGGTCATGGCATCTGCCCGGTAAGCGGAAGGTCGTGGGTTCGATTCCATCCCTTGACACTTTTTTTATTTTATCCATTCTGACCAAAATCTATCCGTGAATTTCACACAGTGAACTTCACACAGAGAGTATAAGGCAATTATATAAGTAGATAATCCAAATTGTGCCTTATCACACACTATTTTTTTATTTGGCCTTATTACCTTGTGTTTATAATCTATGACGTAATGCCGACGGCGCGCGCCCGTTGGCTGCCGGCGAGCACGTGACCTCACTGTGCGCGCGCATCCGTGACAGAACCGGCCGGCCCATGACGGTCGTGACTATATATATAATGGATGGATAATAATAATAATATAATAATAATAATAATTATTATTATTATTATTATTATTATCATTAGATAATGATAATGATCATAATGATGATGCGCGCGCATCGGTGACAGAACCGGCCGGC